TAACACTGTGGCCGAGAGGGGAGCCGGTCGGCCGAGCGGACAGCACGCTGGACTTGTGATCCTGTGGTCCTGGGTTCGATTCCAGGCGCCGGCGAGAAACAATGGGCAGAGTTTCTTTCACCCTATGCCCCTGTTAGCTAGCAGTAAATAGGTACCTGGGAGTTAGTCAGCTGTCACGGGCTGCTTCCTGGGGGTGGAGGCCTGGTCGAGGACCGGGCCGCGGGGACACTAAAAAGCCCCGAAATCCTCTCAAGATAACCTCAAGAGAGTGGCCTAAATTACGACGCATTAAGTGTGTGAATAGGCTGCGTTAGGAGGCGGTAAGCCCACTATCAACAGCTGTTACTACTACTATCTACGACTATTCTCTCTCCTGATAGTCACGTTATCATCCAGTGTTTATTTCGGATTTAGACGAACACTCTCATGGCCAGAAGAAACTCGTGCATTAACAAACAGTCGCTTATATAATAATTATTCTCCCCTGAAGTTTTCTTAAGGAAAAAAACTAAAATTATTTTGCACGATTTTATTTATGAAGAAAATGAATGCAATATGTTGGTGACCTTCTTTCCCGGAACAGTGAGGAAATGTTAAGGAGGAAGGTCAACGGAGCTTGACGGCGGCCAATGGCTGCTTCAGGTGAGAACCAGCCGGCCAATCAAAGCTATCATAAAGCTTCTAGGCAGCCAATCACTGCTGTAGCCGAGAACCAACAGGGCCAATCACAGCTTCATCTGAGAACCCGAGGCCCAATCAGGGTATTACAGAGTGTTGAGGCAGCCACTCACAGCTTCCGAAAACTGTGTATCATCTGAGACAATGGGCGATCAAGGGTACGGCATTGGTGGACTAAACGAGCAAAACTTTTTATTGATAAATGAACCATTGAAGAAACCGTGACGGGATCCAGAACTGATAAACGTGAGCCACAAGAACAAAGGCAAGAAATGGAACCTAACGTCCCTGGAGGTGACCACCAAGTTACCACACCTGAAGGAAAAGGCACGACCCAGGCAAAAACTCCCCCCCCCCCTCACCAACACACCAGGAGGCCAGACACAAGATACCGAAGGGGAACTATCAGGTGGAAAGCGCCAAGCCATTACGACTATATAGCACTGGGAAGGGATCAGGATAAGGATTTGGGATAGGACGGGGGGAAGGAATGGTGCCCAACAACTTGGACGGTCGGGGATTGAACGCCGCCCTGCATGAAGCGAAACCGCCGCTCTACTGTCCAGCCCAAGTGGTTGGACCACAGGATACCGAATGAGAGACGAAGTCCTGCACGAAACGGACAGAGACAGATCTAGGAGTTGATATCACGCCAAACCTGTCTCCTGAAGCCCACATCAAATGAATATCATCAGCGGCGTATACAAGGCTGGATAACACCAGAACTGCCTTTAGAAACTTGTGTAAGGGATAATTTAGAACATTGTATACCACATATGTAAGACCAATCTTGGGGTATGCAGCTCCAGCAAGGAGTTCATACCTTCTGAAGCGTAACGAAGCAGGAGAAGGTTCAAAGGTGTACCACTAGACTCGTTGCAGACCTAAAAGGCATGAGTTACGAGGAAAGGCTGCGTGAATTGCACCTCACGTCGCTGGAAGACAGTAGAGTTCCGGGAGACACGATCACCACATACAAAATTCTGAAGTGAAATGGACAGGGTAGACAAGGATGGATTATTTAACACGGGTGGTACACCCACAGGGGGGACACAGATGGAAGCTGAGTACCCAAATGAGCCACAGAGACATTAGAAAGAACTTTTTCAGCGCCAGAGTAAATGGAATGCTGGAATGCATTAGGCAGTGATGTAGTGGAGGCTGACTCCATACACAGTTTCAAATGTAGTTATGATAGAGCCCAGTAGGCTCAGGAACCTGTACACCAGTTGATTGACAGTTGAGAGGCGGGACCAATGAGACAAAGCTCAACCCCCGCAAGCACAACTAGGTGAGTACACACACACACACACACACACACACACACACACACACACACACACACACACACACACACACACACACACACACACACACACACACACACACACACACACACACACACACACACACACACACACACACACACGCACACACACACACACACACACACACACACACACACACGCACACACACACACACACACACACACACATACACACACACACGCACACACACACACACGCACACACACACACACACACACACACAAGCGTAGCTCTCAGCCTGCCTCAACACTTAGGTACTTGTACTCCTGCAAGTTTCAAGTGTGCCGAGAAAGTTTAGAACTTCACCACCAAACAACAGATACCGCACACAACATTTTGATGCTATGTACAGAAACTATACACAACAACATATACACATGACGCTATACAGTGCTTCCACTACACTACACACCCTCTTAATACCCACAGTATACACGGTCCTACACTGTACAAGTTTGGGTGAAGACAGTGTACACTGAGGACCTCCAGTGGGTCCTGTGTGTTCGGTATATTCCGTATGCAGGCACAATGACGTGGCTGAAGTATGTTGACCAGACCAATCGCCTTGAGAATGGTCCAGGACGGACCGAAACGTCGTCGTCCCTTCACCTTCTAGTGTGTGGTTTGGTCAGTATATTCCGTATGTTTACACGGTTAATCTAGAGGGCCTTCTGGGTCCCCCCCCTAGACCCCGAATTTCGTGCGAGTATTTGAGCTGTGTGCTACAGCTGTCTCCACCACTCTACAGTCAGTGTGTGGAGGCTGTCTCCACCACTCTACAGTCAGTGTGTGGAGCCTGTCTCCACTACTCTACAGTCAGTGTGTGGAGCCTGTCTCCACCACTCTACAGTCAGTGTGTGGAGGCTGTCTCCACCACTCTACAGTCAGTGTGTGGAGGCTGTCTCCACCACTCTACAGTCAGTGTGTGGAGGCTGTCTCCACCACTCTACAGTCAGTGTGTGGAGGCTGTCTCCACCACTCTACAGTCAGTGTGTGGAGGCTGTCTCCACTACTCTACAGTCAGTGTGTGGAGGCTGTCTCCACCACTCTACAGTCAGTGTGTGGAGGCTGTCTCCACTACTCTACAGTCAGTGTGTGGAGGCTGTCTCCACCACTCTACAGTCAGTGTGTGGAGCCTGTCTCCACCACTCTACAGTCAGTGTGTGGAGGCTGTCTCCACTACTCTACAGTCCGTGTGTGGAGCCTGTCTCCACCACTCTACAGTCCGTGTGTGGAACCTGCCTCCACCCACTCTACAGTCTGTGTGTGGAGCCTGTCTCCACCCACTCTACAGTCAGTGTGTGGAGGCTGTCTCCACCACTCTACAGTCAGTGTGTGGAGCCTGTCTCCACCACTCTACAGTCAGTGTGTGGAGGCTGTCTCCACCACTCTACAGTCAGTGTGTGGAGCCTGTCTCCACCACTCTACAGTCAGTGTGTGGAGCCTGTCTCCACCACCTCGTAAGTCATAGTTTTTGCGTCACTATTTTACTACGTTGAGATAGTGAAGGTCTTGATACTGCACCCTTTGCTAATTGGGTACTTATACTTGTGTCATCCTCGACTGTGACCCCTCGTTTGTGACCCCTCGACTGTGACCCCTCGTTTGTGACCCCTCGACTGTGACCCCTCGTTTGTGACCCCTCGACTGTGACCCCTCGTTTGTGACCCCTCGTTTGTGTCCCCTCGACTGTGACCCTCGTTTGTGACCCCTCGACTGTGACCCCTCGACTGTGACCCCTCGTTTGTGACCCCTCGACTGTGACCCCACGTTTGTGACCCCTCGTGTGTGACCCCTCGACTGTGACCCCCGACTGTGACCCCTCGTTTGTGACCCCTCGACTGTGACCCGTCGTTTGTGACCCCTCGTTTGTGACCCCTCGACTGTGACCCCTCGTTTGTGACCCCTCGTTTGTGACCCCTCGACTGTGACCCCTCGTTTGTGACCCCTCGACTGTGACCCCTCGTTTGTGACCCCTCGACTGTGACCCCTCGTTTGTGACCCCTCGACTGTGACCCCTCGACTGTGACCCCTCGTTTGTGACCCCTCGACTGTGACCCCTCGTTTGTGACCCCTCGTTTGTGACCCCTCGACTGTGACCCCTCGTTTGTGACCCCTCGTTTGTGACCCCTCGACTGTGACCCCTCGTTTGTGACCCCTCGTTTGTGACCCCTCGACTGTGACCCCTCGTTTGTGACCCCTCGACTGTGACCCCTCGTTTGTGACCCGTATTAAACAGTTTGTGTCCAACTTTCTGTGTAATTTGTACAACGCTTTTCCTCTCTTTCAGAGTGAGAAGAGAGTCAGGTGTGTGTATATATGTGTATATATATGTGTATAGTGTGTGTGTGTGTGTGTGTGTGTGTTTACTATTTGTATTACTATTTGTGCCTGCAGAATCCAGATGTTTAGCTCTTGGACCCCGCCTTTCTAACCAATCTATTTTTTTCTCTATTATGTCTACTACAAATATTTATCTAACACACACACACACACACATCTCCAGGAAGCAGCCCGTAGCAGCCGTCTAATTCCCAGGTACCTATTTACTGCTAGGTGAACAGGGGCATCAGGATGAAACTCGGCCCATTTGTTTTCCGCCATCGCCGGTGTGTGTGTGTGTGTGTGTGTGTGTGTGTGTGTGTGTGTGTGTGTGTGTGTGTGTGTGTGTGTGTGTGTGTGTGTGTGTGTGTGTGTGTGTGTGTGTGTGTGTGTGTGTGTGTGTGTGTGTGTGTGTGTGTGTGTGTGTGTGTGTGTGTGTGTGTGTGTGTGTGTTTTATTATTAATAAGTGTAACTGTGGTGCTTATTGTGTCCGCTTATAATTACACTCATTCCTAGAAATCCTAATGTGTTAACTAGGAAGCATCTAGCACATATAGTCTTTGTTAAAGTTACTGCACCCTTAACTTTACCTAACAACTTAGTTCCAACATAAGTTGGACCTAAGTTAGGTGTGTTTAACCGCACCACAATTCTCCGTTCAAATGACTGAACTGCCTTGAATTGTATAATATCTCTTGTCTATGGAAGTCACATTTTCATCGTTGAACTTTATAACCACCTTTGTCTAACGAAGTCACTTTCATTGTTGTTGAACACTGTTGGTGTTCTAGTAACGTTGCCCAAGTCACATCTACTTTTCTTTTCCCAGGTGTTATTGTGCCTGGCGATGGCAGCAGCGTCGACCTGGGCCGCGGCGGTGCCTCCTAAGGTCAGTCTCTCCATCAAGGACAAGCTGGCCCTTGACATCCCCGTCAAACAAGTCCACGAGAATGACAAGACGACGGGAAAGGCCGAAGTTGCTAAGGTCGTCTTCCCATCCACCACCCCCACCACGAGCACCACCACCAGCCATCAGCCGCCGAGGAACCCAGCGCGACTTAGTTACATCGACGCGACGGTCTTCAGGCACCAGTTCACCACCCCGGCGACGACTTCGACAACCGAATCTCCGAACGATGACTACGAAGCTTACTTCAGGCTCTGGGACGACCTCAGCTCCTTCGCCGGGGAGATGGGTCCTCTTGGGGGTGACCTGAGGGGAGAGGCTTACATCGATGGCTTCAGACCTCCAGGTTTTTAAGTTTCTTCGAACTCCTCCCTGGTTTCAGGTAGCTTCAACACGCTGAGGGGTTCTAAATAGCTTTCTCCAACGCCTCCGTGACTTCCAGTACTGCGAGCACCAGGGATTCCTATATTATTTCTAGCGCATTCTTGGCTTCTGGTGGGTTGAACACCTCAATGTTTGTAATTGATATGAACGCGCCTGGGTGCTCCGGTAACTTGAAAACCATATTGTTCTATTTATCTGAACGATGGTCTCTGGGGTTGGATAGTTCGAACTCCAGAGTCTATCTTTCTTGAACAATCTGAGACTTCTGATATGAACTCTTAAAGTTCTCATAAATGTTTGAACTTTTAGAGGGGCATATCATTAAGCATATATTAAAACATTGGCATAATCAGCAGCTCATAAAGTTTATGTAAAAATCGTGATGGAGTGTTGAGGTGAAGCACGAGATCACAGCCCGTCCTCATACACAAAGACCAAATGCTCGCTGACCCAGTCGACGAGTCCCCGTTCATCAATGACAAACACTTTACACACACACCACTACAGATTATGTTCGAACCCTTCCTGAACACTGCTTCGCTCTCATCCTGTGTTCGAACACCACTACTAAATTATTCCCCAGAGTATTACAAACACAAATAATTGCCAACAAAACCAAACCCCTAGGCCTAATTATACACAAAAATTCAAATATATATATATATATATATATATATATATATATATATATATATATATATATATATATATATATATATATATATATATATATAAAATATCATTTTAATTTGGGGAAATCTTGAGTTTGAATAACACCGTAGGTTGAAGACTGTGTCTTGGAGGGAGTCGGGAGCAGCTTGCACAAGCAGAGGCTGAAGACGGGTTGACGGGTCGTGAGCACATTGTATGAACAGATGACGTGGCGCTCTGACGGAGCTCTGCTCGTAGCGGAGCTGCTCTCTCTCTCTCTCTCTCCCGAGGGCATCTTCAAGTCTCCAACGTGTCAGCCTCCGCTGCTCTCTCCACAACCGTCAAAGAGAACATTATATATATATATATAAATTATATATATATATATATATATATATATATATATATATATATATATATATATATATATATATATTTATATAAAGTGTACTCCTCAATATATTATAACTCGGTACATTATGTTTGTAACATTTTAAAATTATCTAATATAATGTGGCAATTATATTTAAGAAAATCTAGCTAATTACATGAGTCTGAACACATATATGAAAAAATTGTTACCGATAATGGATTTTATGTTCAATAAATAATTCCCCATGATAAAGGGTAATTTTTAATGTGTGTGTTAATGCCATGTAGTAATGATGGGACGCAAGTTGCCATACCTTATCCACCTTTGACCCTGGTGGCAGAGGTGCCATACCTCGCTCCGATGGCACCACTCAAGGTGGTGCCATCTATTGCTGGATGGGAGGTAGTAAGCCTTGCACTCACATGGGTGCGTACGAGGGTTCGAATCCCATCATTATTATTATTTGTCAGTTCAATTCCTTCAATTCCTTCAATTTCACTCCATTTGAGCCTCGTTTCATTCCCTATCTCGTCCTGTACTCTTTAATAATGTGAATATTTTATTTTTGTGTATAATGTTGTCTGAGTTTTGTGAATGATGTAAACTCTTGCATTTTTCAATAAAATAAATAAATGTATAAAGCTGCCTTTTAATCATTTTTCATCTGGTAATTAATTAAAAAAGAGACGATCTTATCTAAATGGCCATGCCGGCCGCTGCCAAGAACAACCTGACGGAACACGTCTCACCAAACGGGATTGGGTGTACAAGAGGTAAACCGAGTTTCCTTCTGCATATTGACTTCTCTCTTTCTTGGTTTACACTCCGTAAAATTTATGACTGTTTAACCCAACGAGGAACGTATGAACCCAAGCAGCCCACCTAACCTATCGAGTCCGGTAAATAGAAAACGTAACCGATGCATCGTCATTTTGAATGTATTGGTCTACTCCGTACAAAATGCAACGCATTGGGCGAGTAAGAGAGGCAGTCTGCCTCACAAAATTACAGACAATAGCGTTTGCTCAGAATGATTAATATGTATCACTATTCTCACCTCAATTATGTATAAATATTCCTCACCTTAATTATGTATTATTATTATGCCTGACTTTATGTATCATTAGTCTCACTTTAATAACAGAATAACATATATATTTATTTTTAGCGATCAGAGATGATCGAATTTGTGTTCACACGCACACATGTATATGTATACATATATTATTAAATATGACCGAAAAAGTAAGATTAATAATTCTAACACGAATTTTCTCAATGTTTCTTATATTTTTCTTCACTGTTGATGGTAACTGAAAAATCAATTCTCCAAAATTCATTTTTATTTCTAGTCTAGTATGCATATATATGTATGTACGTATGCATGTTCGACGTTGCTCTCCCCCCCCCATCGTCACTCCCCCCCTAACAAAGGGAGGCGTAACGAAGGTCAGACGATGTGGTTAAGGTAGTTAGCTAAGGTATTTTGGTCACCTGTTGTCCAATCAAGGTCATGACGAGACAGTATATATATATATATATATATATATATATATATATATATATATATATATATATATATATATATATATATATATATATATATATATACTTGGTACATATTTATATTTTTGTTATGATTTCTCTTTTTTTTTTTTACGTGCGCGAGTAATTTTTTTTATATAATATTGTAAATATTATTTTTATTATTGGAGGCTTATACTAGATTTAAAATGACCCGTTATCGAAAGTCTTACTAAATAGTAATTGATAGCATTTTATTACACCATTTTATTATTATATTCACCATTCACTATACACCATTTTATTACATCAACAATAATAATAGATAATAGAAAAATCAACAATTTCATCCCTTTAAAGTTCAGATGAACAAAATTTAGAAGCACATTATTATTGCCAAAGTGTCTCTTAATTATTAATTAAGTAGACATATAATCAAATTATGTCTCACAGCTCAAGGCCCAATGACTCCTAAGGAACCGAGATCCACTATATCAGTCTTTCTCATTAGTTTCTTTTAATCAAGTAGCATCACCAAAGGAACATCTGCATTGGTGATGTTCCTTAAGGTTCCTTCAGAGACATCTTAAGGAACAGCTGCAATATAAGCAACAAAGAACTAGTTCAAGAACAGGAAAATAATGGGCAGAAATTACCTCCATGATTTCATTTCATTTTCCTGCGCTGGCGTTTGTTGGGGCCCCTTGTTGACGCGTATTGTCGCGCTGGCCGCGGGTGAGGGTACACAGGGGGGCTCCTGCAGCGTCTTCACCGCCTCCTGCAGCGTCTCCACCGCCTCCTTCAGCGTCTCCACCGCCTCCTTCAGCGTCTCCACTGCCTCCTTCAGCGTCCCAATCTCCACCATCAGTAAAGCCACAACAAAGGAACTACCTCTATCGTCATCACCAACACTAACAACCGCCTAGCACCACAACCACCATCGCCAAAGCCTTCCTCAACAACCACAACCAACAACCACCACTCACACCAACCACCAACACCATCGCCAAAACCTACCAACACCACCACCACCACCATCATGCTCTTCCAACCCTGTTGCTGGTTCCTGATTCTTCTGCTACTTGCTGCTACGGAAGGTGTGGCAGAAGGTGTTCCCGCTGACGAAGGCCGAGGCCCCAACCCTCGTGAGTAGACTGACCAAGAAACTCTTCTTTGTTGTTGAACAAAGACATGGAAAATAGTTGACCAGACCACACACTAGAAGGTGAAGGGACGACGACGTTTCGGTCCGTCCTGGACCATTCTCAAGTCGATTGTGAGACTCACAATCGACTTGAGAATGGTCCAGGACGGACCGAAACGTCGTCGTCGTCCCTTCACCTTCTAGTGTGTGGTCTGGTCAACTTACTTTAGCCCCGTTATTGTGACTCATCGCTTGCATATGGAAAATAGTCTTTGTGAGACACTAACTTTCAAGTCAAGGATGTGGAGGATCTTGAGTCCAAACATTACAGGTGAAAATATGATTTTGTATAGCTCTGGTCCATTATCAAGCCCTGGTCCATTATCTAGCTCCTGGTCCATTATCAAGCCCTGGTCCATTATCAAGCCCTGGTCCATTATCAAGCCCTGGTCCATTATCAAGCCCTGGTCCATTATCAAGCCCTGGTCCATTATCTAGCTCCTGGTCCATTATCTAGCTCCTGGTCCATTATCGATCCCCTGGTCCATTATCAAGCCCTGGTCCATTATCAAGCCCTGGTCCATTATCAAGCCCTGGTCCATTATCAAGCCCTGGTCCATTATCTAGCCCCTGGTCCATTATCAAGTCCTGGTCCATTATCTAGTCCTGGTCCATTATCAAGTCCTGGTCCATTATCTAGTCCTGGTCCATTATCAAGTCCTGGTCCATTATCAAGCCCCTGGTCCATTATCAAGTCCTGGTCCATTATCAAGCCCTGGTCCATTATCAAGCCCTGCTCCATTATCAAGTCCTGGTCCATTATCTAGCCCTGCTCCATTATCAAGTCCTGGTCCATTATCTAGTCCTGGTCCATTATCAAGCCCTGCTCCATTATCAAGTCCTGGTCCATTATCTAGCCCTGCTCCATTATCAAGTCCTGGTCCATTATCAAGTCCTGGTCCATTATCAAGTCCTGGTACATTATCAAGTCCTGGTCCATTATCTAGCCCTGGTCCATTATCTAGCCCTGGTCCATTATCTAGCCCTGGTCCACTATCTAGCCCTGGTCCATTATCAAGTCCTGGTCCATTATCTAGCCCTGGTCCATTATCTAGCCCTGGTCCACTATCTAGCCCTGGTCCATTATCAAGTCCTGGTCCATTATCTAGCCCTGGTCCATTATCTAGCCCTGGTCCATTATCAAGCCCTTAGTCCATTATCAAGCCCTTGGTCCATTATCGAGTCCTGGTCCATTATCGAGTCCTGGTCCATTATCTAGCCCTTGGTCCATTATCAAGCCCTGGTCCATTATCAAGTCCTGGTCCATTATCAAGCCCTGGTCCATTATCAAGTCCTGGTCCATTATCTAGCCCTTAGTCCATTATCAAGCCCTGGTCCATTATCAAGCCCTGGTCCATTATCAAGTCCTGGTCCATTATCTAGCCCTTGGTCCATTATCAAGCCCTGGTCCATTATCAAGCCCTGGTCCATTATCAAGTCCTGGTCCATTATCAAGCCCTGGTCCATTATCTAGCCCTTAGTCCATTATCAAGCCCTGGTCCATTATCAAGTCCTGGTCCATTATCAAGCCCTGGTCCATTATCAAGCCCTGGTCCATTATCAAGCCCTGGTCCATTATCAAGTCCTGGTCCATTATCTAGCCCTTAGTCCATTATCAAGCCCTGGTCCATTATCTAGCCCCTGGTCCATTATCAAGTCCTGGTCCATTATCTGGCCTCTGGTAAATTATCAAGTCCTTTTCTATTATCAAGCTGTGGTCCATTATCAAGTCCTGGTGCATTATCAAGCCCTGGTCCATTATCAAGCCCTGGTCCATTATCAAGCCGTGGACCATTATCTAGTCCTGGTCCATTATCAAGCCCCTGGTCCATTATCAAGTCCTGGTCCATTATCAAGCCCCTGGTCCATTATCAAGCCCCTGGTCCATTATCAAGTCCTGGTCCATTATCAAGCCCCTGGTCCATTATCAAGTCCTGGTCCATTATCAAGCCCTGGACCATTATCAAGCCCCTGGTCCATTATCAAGTCCTGGTCCATTATCTAGCCCCTGGTCCATTATCAAGCCCCTGGTCCATTATCAAGTCCTGGTCCATTATCAAGCCCTGGTCCATTATCAAGCCCTGGTCCATTATTTAGCCCTGGTCCATTATCAAGCCCTGGTCCATTATCAAGCCCTGGTCCATTATCAAGCCCTGGTCCATTATTTAGCCCTGGTCCATTATCAAGCCCTGGTCCATTATCAAGCCCTGGTCCATTATCAAGCCCTGGTCCATTATCAAGCCCTGGTCCATTATCAAGCCCTGGTCCATTATTTAGCCCTGGTCCATTATCTAGCCCTGGTCCATTATCAAGCCCTGGTCCATTATCAAGCCCTGGTCCATTATTTAGCCCTGGTCCATTATCTAGCCCTGGTCCATTATCAAACCCTGGTCCATTATCAAACCCTGGTCCATTATCAAGTCCTAGTCCATTATCAAGCCCTGGTCCATTATCAAGCCCTGGTCCATTATCAAACCCTGGTCCATTATCAAACCCTGATCCATTATCAAGTCCTGATCCATTATCAAGACCTGGTCCATTATCAAGCCCTGGTCCATTATCAAACCCTGGTCCATTATCAAGTCCTGGTCCATTATCAAGTCCTGGTCCATTATCAAGTCCTGGTCCATTATCAAGCCCTGATCCATCATCTGGCCTCTGGTCCATTATCAAGTCCTGGTCCATTATCAAGCCCTGGTCCATTATCAAGTCCTGGTCCATTATCTGGCCTCTGGTCCATTATCAAGTCCTGGTCCATTGTCAAGCTCTGGTCCATTATCAAGTCCTGGTCCATTATCAAGCCCCTGGTCCATTATCAAGCCCTGGTCCATTATCAAGACCTGGTCCATTATCAAGTCCTGGTCCATTATCTAGCCCCTGGTCCATTAGCTAGCCATGGTCCATTATCAAGCCCTGGTCCATTATCAAGCCCTGGTCCATTATCAAGCCCTGGTCCATTATCAAGTCCTGGTCCATTATCAAGCCCCTGGTCCATTATCAAGTCCTGGTCCATTATCAAGCCCCTGGTCCATTATCAAGTCGTGGTCCATTATCTAGCCCCTGGTCCATTATCAAGCCCTGGTCCATTATCAAGTCGTGGTCCATTACATAGCGCTGGTCCATTATCTAGCCCCTGGTCCATTAGCTAGCCCTGGTCCATTATCAAGCTCTGGTCCATTATCAAGTCGTGGTCCATTATCTAGCCCCTGGTCCATTATCAAGCCCTGGTCCATTATCAAGCCCTGGTCCATTATCAAGCCCTGGTCCATTATCTAGCCCCTGGTCCATTATCAAGTCCTGGTCCATTATCTAGCCCCTGGTCCATTATCAAGTCCTGGTCCATTATCTAGCCCCTGGTCCATTATCAAGTCCTGGTCCATTATCTAGCCTCTGGTCCATTATCAAGTCCTGGTCCATTATCAAGTCCTGGTCCATTATCTAGCCCCTGGTCCATTATCAAGTCCTGGTCCATTATCAAGTCCTGGTCCATTATCTAGCCTCTGGTCCATTCTCAAGTCCTGGTCCATTATATAGCCCTGGTCCATTATCTAGCCCCTGGTCCATTATCAAGCCCTGGTCCATTATCAAGCCCTGAACCATTACCAAGTCCTGTACCATTACCAAGTCCTAAACCATTACCAAGTCCTGTACCATTACCAAGTCCTAAACCATTACCAATTCCTGTACCATTACCAAGTCCTGTACCATTACCAAGTCCTGTACCATTACCAAGTCCTGTACCATTACCAAGTCCCGAACCATTACCAAGTCCAGAACCATTACCAAGTCCTGTACCATTACCAAGTCCAGAACCATTACCAAGTCCTGTACCATTACCAAGTCCTGTACCATTACCAAGTCCGGAACCATTACCAAGTCCAGAACCATTACCAAGTCCTGTACCATTACCAAGTCCAGAACCATTACCAAGTCCTGTACCATTACCAAGTCGACTTGACAATGCTCTCAGAGGGACACGAATCATTGTAATTTCCTCCTCACTAATGCCACCGCGACGCCCCAAGGATGCGGGGGCTTCGATTTCCGTATATGTGTTAGGGAATAAAAAGCTCTCGTCCACTTCCTCGACTTGTGAAAGGAGCTTCGATCCCACGACCACTGTGCCAAGGGCGAGGTTTACTCCATGCAGCAATTAAGGGGACAAAGAGGGGGATCGACACCAGGTAACTTGAGTGTGTGTGTGTGTGTGTGGTGTGTGTGTGTGTGTGTGTGTGTGTGTGTGTGTGTGTGTGTGTGTGTGTGTGTGTGTGTGTGTGTGTGTGTGTGGTGGGGATATTTTGAGAACGTGTGGGAGGAAGCCAAGGCTTGCTCGAAGGAGAAGCCACGTAGACACACACTTGGAAGATGAGGATTTTTTTCCTTTAGTTAGAATACATATATATATATATATATATATATATATATATATATATATATATATATATATAATGTATATTAGGTTTCACACCGTGGCTTACAATACCACTGGCTTAGAATATCACTGACAGATTATTAGTGTACTACAATACCACTGACTTAAGTACCATAAACTTACAATACCTCTGGCTTGTAATACCACTGACATAATACCAGTGAGTTACAATACCAGTGACTTACAATACCAGTAAGTTACAATACCAGTGACTTACAATACCAGTGACTTACAATACCAGTGACTTACAATACCAGTGACTTACAATACCAGTGACTTACAATACCAGTGAGTTACAATACCAGTGACTTACAATACCAGTGACTTACAATACCAGTGACTTACAATACCAGTGACTTACAATACCAGTGACTTACAATGAAACAAATATAATGCGATCACTCGTCTGTGATCGCAGGAAGCGAGATTTAAATAGGTCCGAGGAATGTGTAGTCGTGTACTTCCTTGAGGCAGAAGTGAGGCAGAGCTCCTTGAGGCGGGGCAGGCTTCCCTCAGGTGAGGCAGAGCTCCTTGAGGCGGGGCAGGCTTCCCTCAGGTGAGGCAGAGCTCCTTGAGGCGGGGCAGGCTTCCCTCAGGTGAGGCAGAGCTCCTTGAGGCGGGGCAGGCTTCCCTCAGGTGAGGCAGAGCTCCTTGAGGCGGGGCAGGCTTCCCTCAGGTGAGGCAGAGCTCCTTGAGGCGGGGCAGGCTTCCCTCAGGTGAGGCAGAGCTCCTTGAGGCGGGGCAGGCTTCCCTCAGGTGAGGCAGAGCTCCTTGAGGCGGGGCAGGCTTCCCTCAGGTGAGGCAGAGCTCCTTGAGGCGGGGCAGGCTTCCCTCAGGTGAGGCAGAGCTCCTTGAGGCAGGGCAGGCTTCCCTCAGGTGAGGCAGAGCTCCTTGAGGTGGGGCAGGCTTCCCTCAGGTGAGGTAGAGCTCCTTGAGGTGGGGCAGGCTTCCTTCAGGTGAGGCAGAGCTCCTTGAGGCGGGGCAGGCATCCCTCAGGGGAGGCATTAGAGCTCCGTGAGGCGGGGCAGGCATCCCTCAGGTGAGGCAGAGCTCCGTGAGGCGGGGCAGGCATCCATCAGGGGAGGCAGAGCTCCTTGAGGCGGGGCAGGCATCCCTCAGGTGAGGCAGAGCTCCGTGAGGCGGGGCAGGCATCCCTCAGGTGAGGCAGAGCTCCTTGAGGCAGGGCAGGCATCCCTCAGGTGAGGCAGAGCTCCTTGAGGCGGGGCAGGCTTCCCTCAGGCGAGGCAGAGCTCCTTGAGGTGGGGCAGGCTTCCCTCAGGTGAGGCAGAGCTCCTTGAGGCGGGGCAGGCTTCCCTCAGGCGAGGCAGAGCTCCTTGAGGTGGGGCAGGCTTCCCTCAGGTGAGGCAGAGCTCCTTGAGGTGGGAAAGGCTTCCCTCAGGTGAGGCAGAGCTCCTTGAGGCGGGAAAGGCTTCCCTCAGGTGAGGCAGAGCTCCTTGAGGTGGGAAAGGCTTCCCTCAGGTGAGGCAGAGCTCCTTGAGGCGGGAAAGGCTTCCCTCAGGTGAGGCAGAGCTCCTTGAGGCGGGGCAGGCTTCCCTGAGGTGAGGCAGAGCTCCTTAAGGCGGGGCAGGCATCCCTCAGGGGAGGCAGAGCTCCTTGAGGCGGGGCAGGCATCCCTCAGGTGAGGCAGAGCTCCTTGAGGCGGGGCAGGCTTCCCTCAGGTGAGGCAGAGCGCCTTGAGGCGGGAAAGGCTTCCCTCAGGTGAGGCAGAGCTCCTTGAGGCGGGGCAGGCTTCCCTCAGGTGAGGCAGAGCTCCTTGAGGCGGGGCAGGCATCCCTCAGGGGAGGCAGAGCTCCTTGAGGCGGGGCAGGCATCCCTCAGGGGAGGCAGAGCTCCGTGAGGCGGGGCAGGCATCCCTCAGGTGAGGCAGAGCTCCTTGAGGCGGGGCAGGCTTCCCTCAGGTGAGGCAGAGCTCCTTGAGGTGGGAAAGGCTTCCCTCAGGTGAGGCAGAGCTCCTTGAGGCGGGGCAGGCTTCCCTCAGGTGAGGCAGAGCTCCTTGAGGCGGGGCAGGCATCCCTCAGGGGAGGCAGAGCTCCTTGAGGCGGGGCAGGCATCCCTCAGGGGAGGCAGAGCTCCTTGAGGCGGGGCAGGCATCCCTCAGGGGAGGCAGAGCTCCGTGAGGCGGGGCAGGCATCCCTCAGGTGAGGCAGAGCTCCGTGAGGCGGGGCAGGCATCCCTCAGGGGAGGCAGAGCTCCTTGAGGCGGGGCAGGCATCCCTCAGGTGAGGCAGAGCTCCTTGAGGCGGGGCAGGCTTCCCTCAGGTGAGGCAGAGCTCCTTGAGGCGGGGCAGGCATCCCTCAGGCGAGGCAGAGCTCCTTGAGGCGGGGCAGGCTTCCCTCAGGTGAGGCAGAGCTCCTTGAGGCGGGGCAGGCATCCCTCAGGTGAGGCAGAGCTCCTTGAGGCGGGGCAGGCATCCCTCAGGCGAGGCAGAGCTCCTTGAGGCGGGGCAGGCTTCCCTCAGGTGAGGCAGAGCTCCTTGAGGCGGGGCAGGCATCCCTCAGGCGAGGCAGAGCTCCTTGAGGCGGGGCAGGCATCCCTCAGGCGAGGCAGAGCTCCTTGAGGCGGGGCAGGCTTCCCTCAGGTGAGGCAGAGCTCCTTGAGGCGGGGCAGGCTTCCCTCAGGTGAGGCAGAGCTCCTTGAGGCGGGGCAGGCATCCCTCAGGTGAGGCAGAGCTCCTTGAGGCGGGGTAGGCTTCCCTCAGGTGAGGCAGAGCTCCTTGAGGCGGGGTAGGCATCCCTCAGGTGAGGCAGAGCTCCTTGAGGCGGAGCAGGCTTCCCTCAGGTGAGGCAGAGCTCCTTGAGGCGGGGCAGGCATCCCTCAGGTGAGGCAGAGCTCCTTCAGGCGGGGCAGGCTTCCCTTAGGTGAGGCAGAGCTCCTTGAGGCGGAGCAGGCTTCCCTCAGGCGAGGCAGAGCTCCTTGAGGCGGGGCAGGCTTCCCTCAGGCGAGGCAGAGCTCCTTGAGGCGGGGCAGGCATCCCTCAGGTGAGGCAGAGCTCCTTGAGGCGGGACAGGCTTCCATCAGGCGAGGCAGAGCTCCTTGAGGCTGGGCAGGCTTCCCTCAGGTGAGGCAGAGCTCCTTGAGGCTGGGCAGGCTTCCCTCAGGTGAGGCAGAGCTCCTTGAGGCGGGGCAGGCTTCCCCTCAGGCGAGGCAGAGCTCCTTGAGGCGGGGCAGGCTTCCCCTCAGGCAAGGCAGAGCTCCTTGAGGCGGGGCAGGCATCCTCAGGCGAGGCAGAGCTCCTTGAGGCGGGGCAGGCATCCCTCAGGTGAGGCAGAGCTCCTTGAGGCGGGGCAGGCATCCCTCAGGTGAGGCAGAGCTCCTTGAGGTGAGGCAGGCTTCCTCTCAGGTGAGGCAGAGGTAAGTCTCCCTCACACTGAGGCTGGGGAGATGGTACGTCACACTTCCTTGTTATTGGTAAAAGACATCTTCTCGTGTCACGTGACACTTCTTCCCTCTTGCTTGGCCTGGTTTACTCCCTCCACTCTCCCCATGCCTTGGTGTTCATGCTTTATTCCTTCTTCTCATTCTTCCAACCTTTTCTGTTTATTATGGTCTCTCTTCCCCCTCTGTTTTGCTCTCATTCCTCTCTCATTCCTTTTATCAGAGGCACCCCTCCCTCCACCAGAGGCACCCCTCCCTCCACCAGAGGCACCCCTCCCTCCACCAGAGGCACCCCTCCCTCCACCAGAGGCACCCCTCCCTCCACCAGAGGCACCCCTCCCTCCACCAGAGGCACCCCTCCCTCCACCAGAGGCACCCCTCCCTCCACCAGAGGCACCCCTCCCTCCACCAGAGGCACCCTCCCTCCACCAGAGGCACCCCTCCCTTCACCAGAGGCACCCCTCCCTCCACCAGAGGCACCCCTCCCTCCACCAGAGGCACCCCTCCCTCCACCAGAGGCACCCCACCCTCCACCAGAGGCACCCCTCCCTCCACCAGAGGCACCCCACCCTCCACCAGAGGCACCCCTCCTTCCACCAGAGGCACCCCTCCCTCCACCAGAGGCACCCCTCCCCCCACCAGAGGCACCCCTCCCTCCACCAAAGGCACCCTCCCTCCACCAGAGGCACCATTCCCTCCACCAGAGGCACCCCTCCCTCCACCAGAGGCACCCCTCCCTCCACCAGAGGCACCCTCCCTCCACCAGAGGCACCCCTCCCTCCACCAGAGGCACCCTCCCTCCACCAGTGGCACACCTCCCTCCACCAGAGGCACCCCACCTTCCACCAGAGGCACCCACCCTCCACCAGAGGCACCCCTCCCTCCACCAGAGGCACCCTCCCTCCACCAGAGGCACCCTCCCTCCACCAGAGGCACCCCACCCTCCACCAGAGGCACCCACCCTCCACCAGAGGCACCCCTCCCTCCACCAGAGGCACCCCACCCTCCACCAGAGGCACCCCTCCCTCCACCAGAGGCACCCCACCCTCCACCAGAGGCACCCCTCCCTCCTCCAGAGGCACCCCTCCCTCCACCAGAGGCACCCCTCCCTCCACCAGAGGCACCCCACCCTCCACCAGAGGCACCCCTCCCTCCACCAGAGGCACCCCTCCCTCCACCAGAGGCACCCCTCCCTCCACCAGAGGCACCCCACCCTCCACCAGAGGCACCCCTCCCTCCACCAGAGGCACCCCTCCCTCCACCAGAGGCACCCCACCCTCCACCAGAGGCACCCCTCCCTCCACCAGAGGCACCCTCACCACCTCCTCCTCCACCTACAGGGGCGCGGCTGCTGGTGGCGGTGTCGGGGAACTCGCTCAAGGACGGACATAATCGTCTGTTCCGGGCCGCCGAGGGCGCTGGCTTCCTCACACAGGTAAGGTTAGGTTAGGGCACCGTCTGGTGGGTGGTGACCTCAGGCTTCCTCACACAGGTAAGGTTAGGTTAGGGCACCGTCTGGTGGGTGGTGACCTCAGGCTTCCTCACACAGGTAAGGTTAGGTTAGGACACCGTCTGGTGGGTGGTGACCTCAGGCTTCCTCACACAGGTAAGGTTAGGTTAGGGCACCGTCTGGTGGGTGGTGACCTCAGGCTTCCTCACACAGGTAAGGTTAGGTTAGGGCACCGTCTGGTGGGTGGTGACCTCAGGCTTCCTCACACAGGTAAGGTTAGGTTAGGGCACCGTCTGGTGGGTGGTGACCTCAGGCTTCCTCACACAGGTAAGGTTAGGTTAGGGCACCGTCTGGTGGGTGGTGACCTCAGGCTTCCTCACACAGGTAGCCATGCAGAGGTCGCAGGTTCGAGCCCACCTCATAGTCCTGGAGGATTTGTCTCAGTAATGATGATAATAAGAACGTTAACAGTAATAATCTTAGCCTGCACCTCTTGCCCGGGTGGTCACCCAGAAAGGCGTTCAAGTCTAACTGTAATTAACGACATGTATACAAACTCACTCACGAATCAGAATTCAGGAATCACTCAACGATCAATTACAAAGACATTGAGGACGGCCCGAGTGTGGGTGTTGTACACGTTCTCATCAACGTTTCAGATGGTGGTGGTGAAGGACTCGAGCCTCGAGGTGGCCAGGTTACTGGAAGTCATCAGCCAACAGCCATATAAACCCGATGAGGTCCTGGTCATGACCAACAGGTAAGCGGCACGGAACGAGAGAGAGCAGGATGGAGAGAGTGGGAAAGAGGGGGAAATAGGAGGGAGGGGGAGGGAAAGAGGTGGAGGAGGAGGAGGTTACAGAAAGGGAAAAAGGGACAAGAAAGACGCGATGAATCAAGAACAGTGTACTGTAGCCAGCCATGCTCCTCACCTCCTCGTGTGACACACAATAGCAACATGTTCTCACAGGTACTCACGACACATTCAGCTGGCCATATGAAAGCGTTACACACAGGTGGCTCTCCACCTCCAACCTGTATCTCTTATACGACAATCTCAGAGAGAGAGAGAGAGAGAGAGAGAGAGAGAGAGAGAGAGAGAGAGAGAGAGAGAGAGAGAGAGAGAGAGAGAGAGAGAGAGAGAGAGAGAGAGAGAGAGAGAGAGAGAGAGTGTGTGTGTGTGTGTGTGTGTGTGTGAGTGTGTGTGTGTGAGTGTGTGTGTGAGTGTGTGTGTGTGTGTGTGTGAGTGTGTGTGTGTGCATGTGGCACTCCTGCTCATCCTCATGGCCAACATGAAGACAGTACACTGCTTGACACTGCCGTCTCATCTCCCACTGAGCCAATCTTTCCAGCTCGAGCTGGACCCCGCGAGGAGGGAGGAGACAGTTTGGCTTCTTGTGAGATGCTCTGTACTTACAAGACTTTCACAGTATTATACTATGCTTAAATTCCTCTTCTGTTATCCCTAGGAAAATGAGTTTTTCTTACTAATCGTAGAAGTCCATTTTACAGCTGTGAACACAATGAGTTGACCTTTTACTAACCTGTCCTCTTAAAAAGAACGTCGCTTTTGTCCGTTTGTCCGTATGGCCGAATATGGACGTAATTTGAAAATGAAAAAAAATGAATATAAATTTTGGATTTTTTTTTTAACAACAGTAAGTTAAGGGTCCTCTGATAGGTTAGGTGGGCAGGAAATTCTCATAAAGTTTCAAAACGGTATGAAAAACGTTAATGGAAAGTTGCCTCTTCTAAGGTTGCCGAGTAAGCCGGACGACTCAAACAGAAAACGCAACAGTACGTCACTTTTGTGAGTCGATTTCATTTCAAATTACGTCCAAATTTGGCCATAGCACGCATACCAGCCAAAAGTGACGTTATTTTTAAGAGGACGGGTTGATACGGGTTGTGCGTGTGTGAGTGTCTGCATTTTAGCGTGTGTGATTGGAGTTAGGTTACTCTCCACGTGTCGAATATTAGCTCCTGGTTCGTACCTTAAACTCCCGGTCATCTGAAGTAATGAACCTAATGTCCTTGGTCTTGTCTCTTATCATATCTGCTCCTGAAGCAATGACTCGAGCTCCTGTCAGCTGCCGCTTCTGATTTTTTTTGTTGATTTCCTGATTGTTATCGATGAGTTGTATTGTCCTCTTGTGGTAGTATAATTTCCTGATTCTTATCAATGAGTACTCTTGTAACAATATTTCCCAATTGTTATCATCAAGTTGTAGGGATACTGTGGCAGAATATTTACAAAGGAAAATTCCGGGTGTAAGTTTTAAGTAGTGTTACTTGTTTCTGTTTTACTTAAGCTGTGTATGAGTATTTATAACTCGTATGTTCGCTTCAGTAAGATTATGCCCTTAACAACTTCTGTTGAATCCTACTTAAAATCTTATTTGCTTTGTAACTCTACACTGTGTTAGACCATTTTCTGTACCACATAACATGTTCTTGCTTGTAAAAGTACAAAAAATGCACTTTCGTTAATTACAATATAAATTTATATTGTGTTAACGTGAGGTAATTTACTCATGGTTACTGTATCTTATTACCTCAAGAATTAATGTATTGCGAAAATCATTTGAGACAATGAGGAGACTTGAACCACCGCTCCAGTGATTCTCAGACCTTTCAAATGATTTTCCCACTGAAATTGAAATGATATTCCCCATTCATCAGGCCACTGTGAGGTCTCTGAATCTATGTACTCTAATATCAATATTATATTAGACAATAATAACCACATTTTATATATATACAACAAAACAGAGTATCATACTGCAGTGGTTACCCCAGGAGGTATAATATTTGTATTAGTTTGTATAATCACTACAAACGAAGCTATAGAAACTAATTATAGGGTACTAATTACAGGCAAAGTTACGGGTATGCTACACGTCTCATTTCTCTCTGTAGCGACCAATACGTTCCATCGTGCGAGTCTTGGATACTGGCGTGGCGGGTGATGGGCGAGGCGCTGCTGCAGGAGGCTGAGGTGGTCATCTCCTATCCTCCCAAGCCTCACAACCTCACCCTCCACCTCAAGGACCACCTCAAGGAGGACCTCCTGCGAGTTGACGTGAGTTGATTTTCAACATCAGCAGCAGTGACATGTGCGGGGAAGGGGTTTGTGGTGGATAATTTAATGGTGAATAGAGATAGAGGAGGTACAGTAACATTGTGTGCTTTGTTAAATGTGAATATTTTGAAATGTCTGTTTGTTTGTATGTATTAATATGATTGGGTGGTTGAGAGAGAGACAACCGCTGTTATTGGGAATGTTTTAATGGTTGAGAAATGCAACCGTTGTTATGGGAATTGCTTCGATTATCTTGAGGTTATCTTGAGATGGTTTCGGGGCTTTTAGTGTCCCCGCGGCCCGGTCCTCGACTAGGCCTCCACCCCCAGGAAGCAGCCCGTGACAGCTGACTAACACCCAAGTACCTATTTTACTGCTAGGTAACAGGGGGCATAGGGTGAAAGAAACTCTGCCCATTGTTTCTCGCCGGCGCCTGGGATCAAACCCAGGACTACAGGATCACAAGTCCAGCGTGCTGTCCGCTCGGCCGACCGGCTCGATGGTTGAGAAACGGATCTGTCGTTGGAAATGTTGATTGGTGGATAGATCTGTGTGTGGTTTTTTCACCTCTATTATAACTAGAAATGGTAACCGGCGGTGCCCGGGACAGTCTTGTTTCCTCCCACTCTTTATTCCACCCATCCTCTTCTTTTCTGCCCCTCCCTACCTCTCCCCCCTTCCTCTCTTCCCTATCCCTCCTTCCCCTCCCATTCTCCCTCTTCTGTCCTCCCTCCCTCCCCCCTCCCATCCCCTCTCCCCACCTGGCCCCCAACCTTGAACCGAGAGACATGTACACTTATATATATATTAGTATATTTTGGTAGCAGTCTTTCCTGTAGACATATATTATTAAATATGACCGAAAAAGTAAGATTAATAATTCTAACACGAATTTTCTCAATCTTTCGTACATTTATTTTCACTGTTGGAGGTAATTCAAAAATCAATTCTCCAAAATTCATTTTTATTTCTAGTCTGACGCGACACGGGCGCGTTTCGTAAAACTTATTACATTTTCAAAGACTTTAGTTTACAAATACACAACTGAATAGAACTTACGCATCTCCGATTTTGTTTATATCTACATTTGAGTGAGGTGAATGGGGTGAGGTGGCATTAATAGGGTATTAATTTCATCAACACAAGACAGAACAAGAGGTGGCATTAATGGGGTATTAATTTCATCAACACAAGACAGAACACGAAACAATGGGTATTGAAATGGAAGTGATTGTAGAAAGCCTATTGGTCCATATTTCTTGATGCTTCTATATTGGAGCGGAGTCTTGAGGTGGGTAGAATATAGTTGTGCATTAATTGGCTGTTGATTGCTGGTGTTGACTTCTTAATGTGTAGTGCCTCGCAAACGTCAAGCCGCCTGCTATCGCTGTATCTATCGATGATTTCTGTGTTGTTTACTAAGATTTCTCTGGCGATGGTTTGGTTGTGGGAAGAGATTATATGTTCCTTAATGGAGCCCTGTTGTTTATGCATCGTTAAACGCCTAGAAAGAGATGTTGTTGTCTTGCCTATATACTGGGTTTTTTGGAGCTTACAGTCCCCAAGTGGGCATTTGAAGGCATAGACGACGTTGGTCTCTTTTAAAGCGTTCTGCTTTGTGTCTGGAGAGTTTCTCATGAGTAGGCTGGCCGTTTTTCTGGTTTTATAGTAAATCGTCAGTTGTATCCTCTGATTTTTGTCTGTAGGGATAACGTTTCTATTAACAATATCTTTCAGGACCCTTTCCTCTGTTTTATGAGCTGTGGAAAAGAAGTTCCTGTAAAATAGTCTAATAGGGGGTATAGGTGTTGTGTTAGTTGTCTCTTCAGAGGTTGCATGGCGTTTCACTTTCCTTCTTATGATGTCTTCGACGAAACCATTGGAGAAGCCGTTGTTGACTAGGACCTGCCTTACCCTACAGAGTTCTTCGTCGACTTGCTTCCATTCTGAGCTGTGGCTTAGAGCACGGTCGACATATGCGTTAACAACACTCCTCTTGTACCTGTCTGGGCAGTCGCTGTTGGCATTTAGGCACATTCCTATGTTCGTTTCCTTAGTGTAGACTGCAGTGTGGAAACCCCGTAGAATGTGTAGTGTGGAACCAGTGTAGTGTAGACCAGTGTAGAATGCAGTGTGGAAAATATATATATATATATATATATATATATATATATATATATATATATATATATATATATATATATATATATATATATATATATATGTAAGAGGTACCCGGCTGCACTCGGGTCTCTGCTACCCCCTCGTCTTCCTCCCCCTTGGTCACCCACTTTGTCCTTTGTTTAGAACGAACTAAAACAACTCTATGGATCTGCCAGAAAATGTATTATTACGAAGCACTGTAAACTCCACGGGAATCACACCAACTATTTTACATTGGACGTCATGAAAGCCACATGGAGGGTCTCTATAAATGCTAATATTTCTTAAAGTATTTGCCTTAATCCAACTCTGACTAGCCTATGTCTATCCCATACCCCATAACGTTTCCTCTACAAAGTTAGGTGGGGCTAGCCCCAGGCATCTGGCCTGGTAGGGTATCCAATTGTGCCTGGGTCCTTCTCCACCATTTTCCCACTTCCCTCTCTCGTCGCTTTCCTTATTCCCCTTATCTTCTCATATCTCCTTATCTAACTTTCTCCTTTCTCATCCCTCTCCTCTTTCTCCCCCTCCCTCTCCCCTCTCCACCTGTCTCCTCCTCCTCTCTCTTCAAATATTTCTTCTTCTTTGCTCTCTTCAATCCCCCCCTCTCTCTCTCTCTCCCACTTTCTTTCTTCTGTCTGTATTACTGTTTGATCGTCAAGAGACAGACCATCTGTGACAGTCAAGAGACAGACAGGCCTATCTCTGTCTCTGTCTGTCTCTTTCATAGTGACTGTCAGATTCTGCCTGTATTAGTCTCTGTCTTTTCGCTGTCTCTCTTATAAAACAATATGATAGTCTACCATTGGCACGTGGGTTACCTTGAGGTTACCTTGAGGTGCTTCCGGGGCTTAGCGTCCCCGCGGCCCGGTCGTCGACCAGGCCTCCTAGTATATGGGTGGTCTGCTGGTGGGAGTAGCCGAGCAGTGTGAAATATTCAAAATATAATAGTCGCCCATTTGCTGTGAGAACGGTGGCGGGCTTAAAAAAGTCCAGCTAGGGCGTGGGAGAAGTGTCTGTTTTATGGTACTACAGCCAAAGTATAAATAGCTAAAAAAAATATGGATTAATTTTCCTCATATCGGTGAATAAGCCATATTATTAAAGAGAGAATCGCATTGTTTGCCTGTCTGTTTATCTCTCCAGAGTTGTAGGCCAGATGTTTAGGGCTAGCCCTCAGCGAACTTTGCAGGTCTGTTTATCTCTCCAAAAGTTGGAAGTCAGATGTTTAGGGCAAGCCCTCAGCGAACTTTGCAGGGCAATTGTTCTCGGGTCCGTGACGGACATGAACTGATTGAAGTCAGGCTAAATTGATTGATTTATCAAATATTAGCATTTATTGACATTTATATTATATTTAATGAAACCTCATGCGATTTTCATTTGGTCAAATATGAAATATTTGCTGTATTTCCCTTAGAGTCTTTAGGAATCATAATATATTTTCTGAAAGATTAATACAGTTGCTTTAGTGATTCTTAATCATTTTTGTTTTGAAAAATGTTTAGCAAGGTGTAACCAGCGGCCAGTGCCAAAAAATGGTCGTGGGAGTCAGAATGTGACCCTGGCATACCCTTCTATCTTGAATTGTGGCCACCCTGATCAGCCTGTGTTGGTCCCGTACCCCAGACTCTTCCCTCTGCAGAGTTAAGAGAAGCTAGCTCCCAGCACCTCACCTTCAACCTTAGGGATTCAACCTTTAACCTCTAGATGGGTAATAATAACGTTTTCCATCGCTAAGTGTAAATAACTTCAACATTAATGTTCATTAATGTTGAACATTAATAATCTTCGTATTTATACGAAGATTATAATCCTCATTATACGTCTCAGCGTATAATGATTTATAATCCTCATTATACGTCTCAGCGTATAATGATTTATAATCCTCATTATACGTCTCAGCGTATAATGATTTATAATCCTCATTATACGTCTCAGCGTATAATGATTTATAACCCTCATTATACGTCTCAGCGCGGTGCCTTCCGGTCTCTAAAGGTATTATTTTCAGCAATGTTTCGACTAATACTGTTCTCAACCTAAGGTATTATGAAGCACGAGACAATAAGATCAATATTTTGAAGCACGAGACAATAAGATAAATATTTTGAAGCACGAGACAATAAGATAAATATTTTGAAGCACGAGACAATAAGATAAATATTTTGAAGCACGAGACAATAAGATAAATATTTTGAAGCACGAGACAATAAGATAAATATTTTGAAGCACGAGACAATAAGATAAATATTTTGAAGCACGAGACAAAAAGATAAATATTTTGAAGCACGAGACAATAAGATAAATATTTTGAAGCACGAGACAATAAGATAAATATTTTGAAGCACGAGACAATAAGATAAATATTTTGAAGCACGAGACAATAAGATAAATATTTTGAAGCACGAGACAATAAGATAAATATTTTGAAGCACGAGACAATAAGATAAATATTTTGAAGCACGAGACAATAAGATAAATATTTTGAAGCACGAGACAATAAGATAAATATTTTGAAGCACGAGACAATAAGATAAATATTTTGAAGCACGAGACAATAAGATAAATATTTTGAAGCACGAGACAATAAGATAAATATTTTGAAGCACGAGACAATAAGATAAATATTTTGAAGCACGAGACAATAAGATAAATATTTTGAAGCACGAGACAATAAGATAAATATTTTGAAGCACGAGACAATAAGATAAATATTTTGAAGCACGAGACAATAAGATAAATATTTTGAAGCACGAGACAATAAGATAAATATTTTGAAGCACGAGACAATAAGATAAATATTTTGAAGCACGAGACAATAAGATAAATATTTTGAAGCACGAGACAATAAGATAAATATTTTGAAGCACGAGACAATAAGATAAATATTTTGAAGCACGAGACAATAAGATAAATATTTGAAGCACGAGACAATAAGATAAATATTTTGAAGCACGAGACAATAAGATAAATATTTTGAAGCACGAGACAATAAGATAAATATTTTGAAGCACGAGACAATAAGATAAATATTTGGAAAAAGCACTAAACTAGACTGGCAGTATAATACCTGGAAGAGCTATGAGGAGAGGATTGAACGCAGACCCGCATAAAGCGAGGTGGTCGCTATGTCGCCCAGTCCAAGTATGTGAAGATTGCGTGCGGGGACAAAGAGGTCGGACTCTTATAAAGGTGAAAGGTCAAGTTCTTGACGGTGGTACGTGCTGCCTAGTCATGACCCCGGCCTTAACCTCGGCTCTCTGACCTCCTCCTCCTCTACACTTCATCTGGTTATCCTGGCTTGATATCTGCCGTTGTCGCTATAACCACTTCCCTCTCAGTCAGGTCCTCTCTTGAGGTTATCTTGAGATGATTTCGGGGCTTTAGTGTCCCCGCGGCCCGGTCCTTGACCAGGCCTCCACCCCCAGGAAGCAGCCCGTGACAGCTGACTAACACCCAGGTACCTATTTTACTGCTAGGTAACAGGGGGCATAGGGTGAAAGAAACTCTGCTCATTGTTTCTCACCGGCGCCCGGGATCGAACCCGGGACCACAGGATCACAAGTCCAGCGTGCAGTCCGCTCGGCCGACCGGCTCCCTTTCCCCCCTCTAGGGGGGAAAAGAAGAAAAACATAAAACAAGAAGAAACACGTAAGGAATATCGGGAAGATTCGCGCCACAATCATAAATCTAAAACTTTCTGTAGTTTTCAACGAAATATGTTTAACCGAAATTGATCTATTCTGACCTTCAAATTCTTTGTCGAATTTGGCCATAAAATTGTGGATAGAGGTGGCTTCCACAACTTATTCCTTCAATGCTTTCTACTTGTTTACTATCCTCACAGGGTATGAGTATTTCCTTACATTTCTTCGACTTATTTGAGTTTCCAGTTTCCACCTATGTCCTCTCGTGCTAATTTCTCTCACTTTAAAGAGGATGTCCTTCTCCACCTTGTCAATTTCCCTCCGTATCTTGTATGTGGTGATCATGTTCCCCTGCTGCTGCTATTGCCACGCTATCATGGTCCTCCAGAGGTCTCCGAGTCAAGGTTTATATCTCACCTTGGGAACGTGGAATGTAGCTTTATGGACTAAATTGTTGGTGAACATAATAGACGTGGGAGGGCTGGAGTGTTTCAAGCGTAGGTTGGACATATAAATAAATGGGTTTGGGTGGATACAAACTGGAGCTGCCTTGAAAGGGCCAATAGTCCCTCTGAAATTTTATTAATTATTATGTTCCCAATGTCTCATTGTGTTTATTGGAGGCTCTCGTTTTGGGCGTGAGTAGTTAGTCTACGAGAAAGAGTAGTTGTGAAACACTTTGAAGGTGCTTCTTTACTCACTGCTGCACTGAACAGTCTCTGAGCAACTCAGTCTATAATCAGCTGATCATTTATGATCAGGTACTCTCATATTTGTGTTTGTAATACAGTATATAATCAGTTGCAACATGGAATACCGTTAGGCCTTTTGTATGTCATTTCACCGTGCAAGGCTCATGTCTGGGCCCTACCACCACATACACTAATGAATAACCTGGTCTTATGTCCAGATACCCACTGGCGAATATGCTCTAGGGCTGGAGTTCCAAGGTCTGAGTGCTGGCACCGTCTACGAACCTTGAGGCACTCCTACCTAAGTGCCACTCCCCCCCCCCCTTTTGTGTCTCCCTCCCCTCCCCACCCTCTATCCCCCGACCGTTAAGGGCCTTCGACCCGGCATTGGCGTTTCAGTAAAAAAAGCCACGAAAGCACCACAAAAACTCCACAGTGACCTCGGAGGTGAGCAACGGGGGAAACTTGAACATTCACCCGCGGCCTTCACTCATATACACAACGACGCTCGCTAACACCGCGTCCATATGTCGCGTGTAGTCCCCCAGTGCTGAGACGCCAACCCTAATAACCCGCATGAAGTAACATACACACTTGGATCATCGGTCTCCTGCTCCTGAGGGCCGAGCTCGGATCGCTGACGGTCATGAGGGAATGAAAACAGAGCTAGGGTGTGTGTGTGTGTGTGTGTGTGTGTGTGTGTGTGTGTGTGTGTGTGTGTGTGTGTGTGTGTGTGTGTGTGTGTGTGTGTGTGTGTGTGTGTGTGTGTGTGTGTGATGTGCTCGTACATATTTACAGGGTCAGCTTCTCAAGTTTCGGGAGAACAAGGCGGGTCACAAGCCTGAGAACTTGGTGCTCCTGAAGAACCTCCTGCAGGAGCGGCAGGTGCTGAGAGTGCTGGAGGAGCAGCAGCTGAGGAACACTCGTCCGGATACACACGACTTCAAGGCTTACGGTCAGTAAGGAGAGGGAGAGTAGGGGGTGTAGAGGAGAGGGGAGAGTAGGGGGGTGTAGAGGGGAGGGAGGGGAGGGAGGGTATGTGGGTGTAGAGGAGAGGGAGAGAGAGAGGTAGAAGAGAGTAATACCGGCAGGACTCAAGACACAAACGGAGTGTTGAGCAACACCTCAAGACTGTCGTCTCAGAGCCAGAGGAAGACGTTCCCACGCCCATACTGCCACACCCTCACACAGCCCATCCTCCAACACTGATGGTGTTGGAGAATGGACTTTTATTATTATTATTATTTTCTACCACAGACGTGGCCACACATTTACAATGCTAACCAGCATATATACATTTTATTCTGTCCTCCATGGACAGGGTGACAGATTTGTTAAACATATAGTTCAGGGGTTTATTGAACAATCAACCACAGAAGGTGATTGTAGTGGTTTTAAAATGCTAAGCTAAGGATGGACTGGGTGAGAGTGTAGCAGTTCTTCAACAGTTCTTTAGTTCAAACTAACATCAAACGTACACGAATGAACTATTGTATCCCCAAAAAGTTCACGTTTAGTACCCTGAATTAGACCAACTACCATACCAAAAAATGGAAAACTAAAGAACCTAAACTAACTTGTCTAAGCAATCCAAGGCCTAGTACAGGCTATTTTAGACCTAGAGTACTACATATATGTGCAATTCTAAGCCTAGGAATATTCTTGTGCCCTCTACGCCAATAACAGTATAAAGCGGAAACACTGTCGGCTGCAACAGTCTATTTTTGTACGTTCGTCCAAACCGTTTACACACGCACCATCATTTTAGGAGGATAATTTGTTATTTACCAGCACAGGTTATCGCCATCTTGTATATGGATCATATGAGTAAGTTAAGCCACTGAAATACAAGGCGGCTCATGTCAGTCTTCATCAGCACCTGCACTACAAATATCACAATATTTTCAGCGTTTGCGGGTTTGGTGGGATCAGTCAGAGACCTGCTTGCTGCCGCCGCTCAGGGCGGCGCTGCTCTCAAGGTGAGGAGTGGGACTACTGCCGGCAGTGGGACTCCTGCCGGCTGTGGGACTCCTGCCGGCTGTGGGACTCCTGACGGGGCCGCCACACATGCTGTTACTGCTTCTTCAAACTCATCTGCTGCTCCTACTACCGCTGTTGAGGGTGACAGCGTTGACGTGTCACCGACTGCTGCCGCCACTGCTGGAGTGACTGCTACTGTCACCATTCCCATTGCCCCCGGCGCCATTGCTCCCACAACTACTGCAGGGACAGTTCTTGACACTTCTGCGGCAGCTACTCCTGCTACTGTGGAGGCAGACGAGGGGTCTCTGGCTCACCTGTGGCACCTGCTGGCTCGGGACGTGGCACTGAGGCACTCCTTGGCTGTGGCCCTCGATCATAACGCCCTCGTCTTCCAGAGCGCTGCTAACCTCACACCAGGTGACCGTCAACCCAAAAGCTTTTACCTTTCTTGTCTTGGGGTATGTGTGTGATACTTTCTTAGGGTGTGTGCTACTTTCTTAGGGTATGTGTGTGTTGCTTTCTTAGGGTATGTGTGTGTTGCTTTCTTAGGGTATGTGTGTGATACTTTCTTAGGGTATGTGTGTGTTACTTTCTTAGAGTATGTGTGTGTTACTTTCTTAGGGTATGTGTGTGTTACTTTCTTAGGGTATGTGTGTGATACTTTCTTAGGGTATGTGTGTTACTTTCTTAGGTTATGTGTGTGATACTTTCTTAGAGTATGTGTGTGTTACTTTCTTAGAGTATGTGTGTGTTGTTTTCTAGGGTATGTGTGTGCTACTTTCTTAGGGTGTGTGCTACTTTCTTAGGGTATGTGTGTGTTGTTTTCTAGGGTATGTGTGTGCTACTTTCTTAGGGTGTGTGCTACTTTCTTAGGGTATGTGTGTGTTACTTTCTTAGGGTGTGTGCTACTTTCTTAGGGTATGTGTGTGTTACTTTCTTAGGGTATGTGTGTGTTGCTTTCTTAGAGTATGTGTGTGTTACTTTCTTAGAGTATGTGTGTGTTGTTTTCTAGGGTATGTGTGTGCTACTTTCTTAGGGTGTGTGCTACTTTCTTAGGGTATGTGTGTGTTACTTTCTTAGGGTATGTGTGTGTGTTACTTTCTTAGGGTATGTGTGTGTTACTTTCTTAGGGTATGTGTGTGTGTTACTTTCTTAGGGTATGTGTGTGTGTTACTTTCTTAGGGTATGTGTGTGTTACTTTCTTAGGGTATGTGTGTGTAACTTTCTTAGGGTATGTGTGTGTTACTTTCTTAGGGTATGTGTGTGTTACTTTCTTAGGGTATGTGTGTGTTACTTTCTTAGGGTATGTGTGTGTTACTTTCTTAGGGTATGTGTGTGTTACTTTCTTAGGGTATGTGTGTGTTACTTTCTTAGGGTATGTGTGTGTTACTTTCTTAGGGTATGTGTGTGTTACTTTCTTAGGGTATGTGTGTGTTACTTTCTTAGGGTATGTGTGTGTTACTTTCTTAGGGTATGTGTGTCTTACTTTCTTAGGGTATGTGTGTGTTGCTTTCTCAGGGCCTATACACTACTTTCTTCACGTACATGTGTACCTACCCTAACATAGGCCATACTATGATTGATTTAATAATGAAGAGGAAAGTCACATTTGTACTTAACAGTTTCCCATGTTAAGAGTTGACTTGTGACAGTAAATTCAATAAAAAATCTAAACACTTTATTTACCATCCTCCGGTCCCCATAGATGAATATATTGCATTATTTCGTAACTTCTGTAGCTTTGTAACTTTTTGTAACTATATAACCTCTGTAGCTTTGCTCGACGTTCTCTATAACTGAAGATGCATGCATTCGATGGCATTGAAATTGAAATAAGTTTATTGAGATAAAATACACACAAAGGGATAAGGTTATCTTGAGGTTATCTTGAGATGATTTCGGGGCTTTAGTGTCCCTGCGGCCCGGTCCTCGACCAGGCCTCCACCCCCAGGAAGCAGCCCGTGACAGCTGACTAACACCCAGGTACCTATTTTACTGCTAGGCAACAGGGGCATAGGGTGAAAGAAACTCTGCCCATTGTTTCTCGCCGGCGCCTGTGGTGTCCCGTCTTGAGGTAGCTCAAGCTATTCTCACCCCGTTCAGTACATCGTGTTAATACATACATATACACACAGTTCGATGGCATTCTATGATATATTTCATCTACGTCGAAATCCCATCCACAGATGCTTTCGGGTACAGGGACGATGGGACCGTAGGAGGCGGAGGAGGGCCAGGGTCCCGCGTGGCACCTCTGGTGTACGCAGTGCCAGGCCAGGCACCTCTCTTCCTTCACAACAGTGCCTCGAGGGAGGTCGGCCTCAAGCTGCCCTGTCCTCACTGCCCTGATGAACCCCTCGCTCCTGCCCACTACACGGTGAGTGTGTCATTACCTAAGTGTAAGTACCCCAAGTGTAGTTACAGGATGAGAGCTACGCTCGTGGTGTCTCGTCTTCCCAGTACTCTTTGTCGTATACCACTATGACACTACTGACAGGTTTGGCCTCCACCACCACCACCTTCTCACTTTGCTTGTACCAACCGTCTACATCTCTGTTTTACTTGTTATTTTTCTTTTATTTTTATTATTTTGTGTGTGTGTATTCACCTAGTTGTTCTTGCGGGGTTGAGCTCTGTTCTTTGGGAATGCCTCTCAACTGTCAATCAATCAACTGTTACTAACTATTAACTAATTGTGTGTGTGTGTGTGTGTGTGTGTGTGTGTGTGTGTGTGTGTGTGTGTGTGTGTGTGTGTGTTTACTAGTTGTTTTTGCGGGGGTTGAGCTTTGCTCTTTCGGCCCGCCTCTCAACTGTCAATCAACTGTTTACTAACTACTTTTTTTTTTCACACCACACACACACACCCCCCAGAAAGCAGCCCGTGACAGCTGACTAACTCCCAGGTACCTATTTACTGCTAGGTAACAGGGGCACTTAGGGTGAAAGAAACTTTGCCCATTTGTTTCTGCCTCGTGCGGGAATCGAACCCGCGCCACAGAATTACGAGTCCTGCGCGCTGTCCTGTGTGTGTGCGTGTGTGTGTGTGTGTGTGTGTGTGTGTGTGTGTGTGTGTGTGTGTGTGTGTGTGTGTGTGTGTGTGTGTGTGTGTGTGTGTGTGTGTGTTTGTGTGTATGTGTGTGTGTGTGTTCGAATCTATCAATCCCCCCTAAATATTTTGTTTCCATCATATCTTCCCGCTCCTTCATTTCTTCTAGCGTCGTCAGGTTCAGTTCCTTCAGTCGCTCTTCATACCTATCTTACTCATACCAATACCGCTCTTCTGTAATTATCATTATTATTATTAGCATTATTATTATATAAATTTATAGGTCGCTGTACTTTATAAGTCTATGGGGCGCTATATGTTATGTCAATGAGTCGCTGTGCTTTTAATATACAGGCTACAAAATATCGACACTCGGCTGCTTGTACAATTTTGATTACAATACCTTACATTACTGTGCCCGAAAAGCAAAGCACTAATAGACCAGTATTTCTAGATTGTCAACAAAATAGCGTGTGATACTGTTTTTTTTTTTTGAGATATATACAAGAGTTGTTACATTCTTGTACAGCCACTAGTACGCGTAGCGTTTCGGGCAGGTCCCTGGAATACGATCCCCGCCGCGAAGAATCGTTTTTACAACCAAGTACTCATTTTCAATGCTCATTTTACTGTTGAAAATGAGTACTTGTCTGTTGAAAGACTGGTGTGCGAAGTGGAGCGACAAGCCGTGATAACTGAAAACACAGTGAAGCTCAGAAAACAGTCAGAGAGATGTGTTGACTGTATGGATGAGACAAGTTGAGTCTCTGCAAGGCTCGGTCTTGGAACCATTACTGTCCCTAATTTAAGTGTATGATCTATCCTGAGGGAGTGAGCTTCTACATGTAGGCCCAGTAGGCTCAAGAATCTGTACATCAGTTGATTGACGGTTGAGAGGCGGGACCTAAGAGCTAAAGCTCAACCCTTGCAAGAACAACTAGATGAAGACGATAATGTTGAATATGAACAACGGAGAGTCCCCCCCCCCCAAATAGCTTCCATTTTCTTTAAACCTTATTTATAAGAAAACCTTCAAAATTAGGTGGTAAACTATAGTAAAAGAATTTAAGTGCCGGGATATACAGTGCAAACTGTGATTTTTTTCTTTCACTTCTTATGAAACTTATTTATACACTGGGTTTTCTATCACTGCCACTAGAGATAGTGGCTAATAAGTATATGAAGGAATATACATAGTCACCAGCTCTAGTGGCATCGACGGGGACAGGAAGTCGGCGACTTGTCAAAGGTGCCTCTCTCCCCCCCAGCCCCCAAGTTCCTAATTATTTCTTCCAACTAAATTTTAAACTGCAACAATGTGTTGGTATTTACGGCTTTAGCGGGTAGGCGGTTCCATGGGTTTTAATCTACCGGTGCAAAAGCATCTGCTATTTCCCGTGCTGCAGTGTGGCTTGTTGAACCTGAAGCTGCTGTTCTTTTTATGTGTTACATTTGATCTTTGAAATAAGTTGTCTGGATTAATATCCAGACCATGACCGGCGCTGTCATGTCTTTATTTTTTATACTGTTAGTCCTGTGGCCCTCAACTAGTCCTGATATGAAGGCTGGCTTAGTAATTGTGATGTTTTTTGTCGAGCTCCGTGTTGAACTTTCTGCAATTCAGATGAAACAGCAGCTCGTGTTCTGTGCTGCAGGTTGAGGCGGCCCCGACTGTCATGATCTTGGTGGTGGTGGACCGCCCGCTGCCTTTCCTCAAGATCTTCCTCAGACGTCTCCAGAGGCTGTCCTACCCTAAGCACCATGTCTTCCTCAGCTTCCTCGTCGCCCGTGGAGCTCAAACACATCTTGGGAGGTAGGGAGAGAGAGAGGGAGGGAGAGAGGGAGAGAGGGAGAGAGGGAGGGAGGAGAGAGGAGAGAGAGAGGGAGAGAGGGAGAGAGGGAGGGACGGAGGGAGGGAGGGAGGGAGGGAGGGAGGAAGGGAGGGAGGGAGGGAGGAGAGAGAGAGAGAGAGAGAGAGAGAGAGAGAGAGAGAGAGAGAGAGAGAGAGAGAGAGAGAGAGAGAGAGAGAGAGAGAGAGAGAGAGAGAGAGAGAGAGAGAGAGAGAGAGAGAGAGAGAGAGAGAGAGAGAGAGAGAGAGAGAGAGAGAGAGAGAGAGAGAGAGAGAGAGAGAGAGAGAGAGAGAGAGAGAGAGAGCCACTGCCTCACCCACCACTACTCAACAGGTGGAGAGGTTCCTGAACAGCGTGGCGGAGGAGTACCTGAAGGTGGCGCTGCTGCCTCCTGAACCTGGCAGCACCCTGGCTACGGCACTCCGGTTTATGTGGTCAGTATGTTGGTGTGTACCTCTAGTTACCTCTCTCTCTCTCTCTCTCTCTCTCTCTCTCTCTCTCTCTCTCTCTCTCTCTCTCTCTCTCTCTCTCTCTCTCTCTCTCTCTCTCTCCCTCCCTGTCTCTGTCCCCCCCCTCTCTCTCTCTCTCTCTCCCTTCCTCTCTCTCTTACCCCCTCCCTTTCTCTCCTTCCCTCCCTCCCTCTCCCTCCCTCTCTCTCCCTCTTTCTCTCTCTATCTCCTCCTCCTCTCTTTGACACTCTCAAGGGCCCCTTAACAATTGTACAGCCCCTAAACGATCTTTCAGCCCTTTAACAATCTTACAATCCCCCCATTATCGATTGTACAGTCCTTGTTTCGGCTACAGGGCGATAGCCTCGCACCGACACATCTATTAGGAGCGAACAACGGTGTTTAACCCCAAAACAATTGTTATACCGTGTCTGGCCGACCGCCTTGCTGCCCCGATATCCCAACAATAGACCAATAGGTCTATTGGCCCATATGTGACAGCTTCTCTTTATGTCCACTCAAATTCAATAAATATATATATATATATATATATATATATATATATATATATATATATATATATATATATATATATATATATATATATACCTATATATATATATATATGCGAACAAGCCTGAATGGTCCCAGGACAATATGCAACTGGTATGTACAAGACGCCTTAATCCACTTGACTTAATCATTATGTCCGGTCGTGATGGTCAAGTGGATTAAGGCGTCTTGTACATACCAGTTGCGTTGCTCCTGGGAGTATGGGTTCGAGTCACTTCTGGGGTGTGAGTTTTCAGTTGTTATATATATATATATATATATATATATATATATATATATATATATATGTCTGACCTACGCTTGAAACAATCAAGGGATTGCACGTCTACGACGTTCGCGCTGGAATATCTCTGCAAAAAAAAGTATTTTATGTTACCCGATAATCTGTTTACTCGATACAATTCGTTCATGTTCTCAGAACCCACAAGAACCCCAAGACACCGGATGTGAATCTCTTGCGAGATTTAATCTGACCTCTTGTGGTTGACAGAGACTACTTCGATTTTGTGATCAAATTCCCGCTCCGCCAGCAGATAACGGAGCCCACTAGTACACAGAATACTCTCCCGCTGATTTTGACGGACAATTAAGAAATAATCAGAGATATTACATTCTCAGTTACTACATACCTACACCACATATTAATATTTGAATATCAATGAATATCCTTAATATGTCCAAAAGGATTAACAATCGAGAAGGATTATTCAACAAATTAAATTTATAAAAAATAGAAGGAAAGGGAACTATCAGGGAAAGGGGCAAGCCAGTACGACTATATAGCACTGGGAAGGGGTCAGGATAAGGCTTTGGGATGGGACGGGGAGGATGAATGGTGTCCAACCACTTCGACGGCCGCGGGATTGTACGCCGACCTGCATGAAGCGAGACCGTCGCTCTACCGTCCAGCATAAGTGATTGGAAGGTGCCACATATACACATGGAAGACAGTGCATACCCAGGTCCCAGATTTGCACAACAAAATAACATGTTGGGGTGAACGATATTGGAGGAAGTGCAGAACAGAGTCAGTGAAGAGCAGGGAAGACATAGGCACAATCAGAGGTTCACGGCTGTTCAACATCTTGCCAACATAAGAAATATTGCCTGAACACAAGTGGATGTGTTCAAGAAATAGGTAGACACGTTCCTGAAGACAATGCCGGATCAACCAGGCTGTGGTGGGTTATGTGGGCCTGCGGGCCACTCCAAGCAACAGCCTGTTGGACCAAACTCACACAACACAAGCCTGGCCTCAGGCTGGGCTTGGGAAATAAGACTCCCAGAACCCCTTCCAGGTATAGGAATTAGATTGAAGGTGGTGAGGCAGACGCTAGACTCATTACTTCATACTTGGATATTTCAACTTTTGAACTCTTAGAGTAAGTGCTCGTTTAGACTTACCATATTTTGAATACCTTTGGTATTTGTTAGCATACATTTTGAACAGTGATACTGCTTTTGTTTAGTTTCTGTCGTACGGCTGCTTCATTCAAATTTTATTTACTCTTTCTAAAGGCATTTAACAAATTTCGAATTATAAATATATACTATAACTTACTCTTTACTTTAAGTCCAACCCTTCCTTGGCCGGCCTCTGATGGCTGTCATCACTGACAATGCTATTTGTAACGATCTTACTGTAACAGACTAGGCTGTTGTAAGAATTATCCAGAGTGGTTTATCGACAAAAGAGAATGGGAAGCTGAGCCGCATGGTGACCTGACCCCAGGGGAATTCGCGGTGGAAATAACCGACGCTTTGTTCATATCTGCGTATAATGAATCATCCTATAGTATTCAGTAATTTAGAGAAAATTAGCCTTTATTCATTTTGCATAAAAATTGTATTGTATAATAGTACTGGATACAATATCAAGAGTATTCTAATTATTGAGTTTAAGTCACCGTCAGTGACGTCACGAATCAGATCTAACTTTTAAGGCGGAGTGACTGGCGGTCATAGGTCAGCAGGGTTGACATGTCTAGTATTTCTCAAAGTTCAATTAACCATTTTGGGGATCGGGAACAGCTCTGCCGTTAGATGTTTGTAATTCAATTCAGTAAAATAATTCAACCAGTCTGGATCAATTAAGTACAACAGAGGTTAATTGTTATAACTTAAACCTGGCTAGGAACTGGGTAGAACTTTGACTAGGCGGAAGGATACAAGGTTCTAGTCTGGGCTAGGCCAGACGAGGACAAATCAGTGTGAATACGGGAGCAGCTGGGAGAGGTCAACCATCTTACCTCTCCCCAAACCAGCACAACATCTTAGCTGGAAAACATAGAGGTATAGTTGCTATTGTAAATTATAGGGATAGTCTTCTCATTTGCCATTCAGGTCAAGTAGGGAGTGTTAAAGTGATAGGGAGTGAACCTATTTAGATTTTGTCTTAGTTTTCTTTTAATAAATTAAATTTGTTATTAATTTGCATTTTATTGTTTCCATGTGTTTTATGTGTATACTTGTCCTGGTCACGTGGTCCACACGAGGCGGAGTTGCATTGGGCGCCGATTCTAACATCGAATCGGAATTATCATTACCGTGTAATTTATGCCACACTCAAGGTCATCGTTTATAGTGGGGATCAAGCCCCTAGGTTGATTAATTAGCGTGATCGATCCAGACCTCGATCATTGCTCTTGTATTACTGGTCTGGTGGTGGCAGCAGAGGTGACTCTAGGGTTTTGTTCAGAGCTTAGGTCACGTCATACTGGGTGTAGAATCCTAAGTCGGTCAATCGTCTTAGGACCACGTGGCGTGGAGTTGGCTTTGTTAAAAGTTTTGGAGTCCCTTGGTTTAGAAATAAAAGTAAGAATACGGGTAGAGGGTGTACTAAAGGGTGTTACATTACAACCTATTAACTGTCTTACAGATAACTATCCAACAGCCTCCCTAACGAGCTAACGCTCCCCCACAACATACCAACACTACAGCAGAAGGAACTCCTCCACTATTGCTGTCCGTTCAAGCCTTTCTAACCCAACCATTGCCTCCTGCAGGAGGGTGGCGAGGAAGGAGGCCCCAGACTACCTCTTCCTGCTGGAGGCCGGCGCCCACCCTACCCACCCTGAGCTGCTCCAGCTCCTCATAGCTAAAAGAAGGTGAGTTTGGGTATTAGGGAAACACGTTGTTTTGATTCTTAGCACAAATGATCAGGTAACACAGTAGACGTGAGATCAATGGATCTCACTAGATCCATTGATCGTAGATCCATTGATTCTCACTAGATCCATTGATTCTCACTAGATCCATTGATCGTAGATCCATTGATTCTCACTAGATCCATTGATCGTAGATCCATTGATTCTCACTAGATCCATTGATCGTAGATCCATTGATCGTAGATCCATTGATCGTAGATCCATTGATTCTCACTAGATCCATTGATCATTAAGCGTAGGTAAGACATATTAGTGAATGTGTTTGTGTGGATATAGATAGGAGCTGCCTCGAATGGGTCAATAGGTCTTCGGTAGTTATATTATCTTCTTATCTGCTTTATATAATACGCTAAATATTAAGGCTTTATCTGGTGATATATAAAGGAAATCGTGGGTTGTGTTTCAGAGGTCACTAGTGGATAAGGCTTACCATGAGCTGTGGGAAGGGAAAGCTCTCCTCGGCCTGCTAACAAGAGTCAGAAATCAACTAACCCAGTATCAACCTGTGTTAACAAAAATCGTATTAGGAATGTGACAATTAATTCTGGTTAAACTAAGCTTAATTCTGGTTAAGTTAAGCTTAATTCTGGTTACACTAAGCCCAACAGTTTAATGATAGAGTGTACGGTTACAGAAGAGTGGTGGGTCCCCTGCTGACGACTGAGGAGGGCCAGACCCACAACCTGCAGGGCGAGCAGGAGAGGGAAGGCTCGAGGGACACCGTGGAGAAGTTCGTCAGGAGGCATAGCAGCCAGGACGGGTGGGTGTGTGGCTCTGGCTCTTGGGCCCGCCTCTCAACTCTCAATCAATCAACTTTCAACCCCCCCCCCCCCCCACATACACACACACCTAGGAAGCAGATCGTAGCAGCTGTCTAACTAGAAGGTTCCTATTTAATGCTACGTGAACAGGCGCATCAGGGTGAAAGAAACTCTGCCCATTGTTTCTCGCCGGCGCCGGGAATCGAACCCGGGCCACAGGACTACGTGTTCAGCGTGCTATCCACACAGCCAGCGGCGCCCTCAGACCCGTCCAAGCAACAATTAAGCCAAGGACACATTCGTCAATGTTGACGAAGGCTGTGTCCGAAATTGGTATTTTTCTCCTATATTAATTAACATTATTATATATTAAAGTTTGGTGTATAGTAAGGTCTGAATTAAGTTACGTTATGTGTTTGCAGTGTTTTTTTTCAATCACAGTTGTGATTGGAACAGAGGCCGTCAGCAAAGCACTTATCGAACGTCATCAATTGAGAGTCGTGTGAGAACCGTTTTCATTCATAAAGAGGGGCTTTGGCGGCTGGATTAACGAGCCTTTGGCCGTTGTTTCAGCCCGTCCTCCAAAGACCCAAAGTCCATTCCATGCACCCGCCAAACCCCAGCTGTTTATGAATGAAAAACGGTTTACACACGACTCACAACTGATGACATTCGAACACTTCCGGAACAAGTGCTTCACTGACGAATTTTGTTCGAATCACAACGCTATAAATGCTTCACCCACGTACTACAAATACAAAATAATCGCCAACAGAACCTAAACACCTAACCTAACCTAACCTAACCTAACCTAACCTAACCTAACCTATGCCTATAAATGCACAATATGCTAATATAGCATAACATTAATTTACATTTGAGAAAAATCCTGTTTTGAATGAACAGCATGATAAAATTTGTGAATGCGTCTGTGGGGTCGACCGCTGGATGGAATGGACTTGAGTCGAGGACGGGTTGCGTTGTTCATAAGGACGGACTGGTTACTGTATACTTGCGTCCAGCTCACAAGGTCGGTTAGACTAGGTGTTTGGTTTCTCTTGCCAATTCATTGTGTTTACAGTACGTGTGTGTGTGAAGCATTTAGACAAAGGCGTTTTGAACACAAGTGTTCGAACAAGATCAGTGAGTAAAGTATTTTTCTTTTTTTACAAAACAGGTGAGGCGGTTGGTGGATGAACCAGCATTTGTGCCATATTTATGACAACAATGTTGAGGACTAAAGTATACTTAGTGGTTTGTCATTAAGGGATTGTGGTTATTAAGCCACTTAATAACCTTTGGGAGATCAATAGACTTTTTAAACCCAACACAAACCAGACTGCAAGTGTCTCTCGTCGCAACATAACTGTGTTTAGGTCCTTATTATACAGATCCCATTGTGTTGACCCGCACGTCTTGAAGTAAGAGTTCTTAATGTCATCCCTTACAGCTAGATTGACCTTTCGTGTTTGAAATGGGAGAAAAATAATATTACCAACTGCTCTCTATAGCTACATGTCAAGCCGGCCGAGCGGTCACCCATACAATTACTGACATCTGGTGTTACGCTCCTTGCTGTATCTCCCTAAAAAAAAACAGGTTGCTGGATTACCGGGGCCTGCTGCAGGTGGGGCAGGTCGGGTCGGCCGTCCTGCTGGCGAAGGACGTCTACACTTCCCTCAGGCTGGACTTCGCAGCCTACCAGCAGGACGCCGCAGCGCACGTCTTTACCCTGGTGCTGACGCAGGCGCTGACGCAGGTGGGGTCAGCATGGAGACCAGAGCTAGGCCAGTCCTAGGGAATGGTGATAGGTGGGTAGTGGGAGGGAGATGGGGAGATAGGTGGGTAATAGGTAGAAGGGGGAGGGTAATGGTAAGTTCGGGAAGGAGGGGGGGGGGGTTAATGAGGGGGTTTATAAGGGGGAAAGAAGGGGAGTGGGTGTTGTGTGCATACCTATCAGTGCTCACCTGGTAGTGACGAATGAGGAGGGGAGGGGGAAGCGACGGAGAGGGGAGAGGAATGAAGGGAGGGGCTAGTAAGGGAGAGGGAAGTGAGGGAGAGACGAGGGGGGAGGGAGGGGGATGAGGGAGGGAGATGGGGGAGGGAGGGGGGGGGGACACACTGCCAAGCACGATAGGAATACTCGTCTCGCTGGTCTCTGCTCTATGCCAAAAAAAAAAAATTGTCTGCATTTCCCCTGCAGGACGTTATTGCGCTACCGATCAGTATATCCTCAGAGCTGCTCAGTGTACACACACACACACACACACACACACACACACACACACACACACACACACACACACACACACACACACACACACACACACACGCACGCTCAGTGTACAACTGTGTGTATGATCAGCCTCTGGAGGGTTACTAAGCACACTAACTTGCTCACCAGTCAGCACGTATACTGTAGCCCTGAACAGTCCAAGATTAAGGTCAAGTCTCAGTGTTCATACACCCAAGAGCCTGAGAATACACTTCAGAGTGTCTATATATGTAAACGGTTACCCTGAAGCTAGGCCTTCAAGGCGTCCCGCTTTATCTTTTGTCATTCAGCTCGGAAACATACGCAGGAACAAATAACTGTTTGGATGTATATATGTTGCATGTCTGGGCAAGTTTTGTTTACGGTTTTGACTCTCGGATTAACTGCAAAGGTATTAGTTGTTCGCTTTGACTTTACGACGCTTAAAAGTCGTTCACAAAAAGAGCTGTCTGGCCGCCATTTTTCAAAATGGCGTCCTAAATTCAGCTATAATTGTTGGAGACTATACATATTATTGTCTCTTAAAAGTTTTAAAGAATGTATATATTAATATTTACCTACTTTAAACGCTCCTCCCTCCCTCCCTCCAGGGCTACATCCCCTACGTCAGCAACGAGGCGCCCTACGGCAAGCTCATGAACTTGGAGGGCTACGAGGGTGACGTATGGGGGCTGGAGAAGAACGGGGAGGAGTTCTTCGAGGAGTACGTCGACAAGACGCCGTTCTCAGACGTCGACGCCGGCCCCGACCAGTGCCCCCACCTCCACACCACGAGGATCTTCAACGACGCTTTCGTCCAGGACCTCCTGCAGGATGTGCACACGAGGCCCTGGAACCCCGCCCCGGAGAAGGTCAGCGTCAGAGCCACACTTCCGACTGCCATGACCAAGATTCTTCAGGCATTTACGCAACTATTTACGAAACATGTACATCTTTCCTTAATCATGGCAACCGTGTTTATATTCACTAGACAGTTTATGAGCTGTGAAGCACTCTGACGTTGTTTATAACAATAATAACCTTGGGTTGTGAAGTTTCTCAGCTCGTAATGTTGGTGAGGAAGAGGACAGGTTGACTTGTTTAGCAGTTACCAGGGAGGATGTTATTAAACAAATGATGAAACTCCAGCCAAACAAATCCCCAGGGCTGGGCGAAGTGTTTGTCAGGGTGCTTAAAGAATGTAAAGGGAAGCTTTGCGAGCCGTTCTTTACCATATTTAATAAATTATTAGTCAGGCAGAGTGCCAGAGTCGTGGATGGTTGCCAATGTGGTTCCAATTTTCAAGAAAGAAGATAGATCACTTGCGTCAAACTATCGGTCAATTAGCTTAACGTCTATTATGGGAAAAACTGCCAAAAAAAAATAATGATAAAGCTTAATTTATATTCTCTAGAAAGGCAAAGAATTTGGGGTAACATGATAGAGGTGTACAAGTGGATGAATGGACATAACAAAGGGAATATTAATAGAGTATTAAAAGTATCAATACAAAATAGAACACGAAACAATTGTAATAAATTGGATAAGTTTAGATTTAGGAAAGACCTGGGTAAATACTGGTTCGGTAACAGGGTGATGATTTGTGAAACCAATTACCGCATAACATAATAGAAGTAGGACCCCTTGATTGTTTCAAGCATAGGCTAGACATATATAAATGAGATTATATATTATATAGATTATATTATTTATTGGGTGGATATAAATAGGAGCTGCCCCGTATGGGCCAATAGGTCTTCTGTAGTTACCGTCCTTCATATGTTCTAATGTAAACTGTTTAATAATTAAGGCATTTACAACCACCATGAATGAGGAAAGATATACAGGTTTCGTAAGTGGATGCGTAAATGCTTGGTGAATCCTGACTCAGTTCTATAGGATACAACTTAGAAGGCGGCTCGCCAGAGGGTATTAAAACTTACCCAACCTAACTGAATGAAGCTTAACGTAACGTTATGATACACACAGAAATCACAATAGCGTGATGCATCAAATGAACAAATCCACAAGGGCCGTGACGAGGATTCGAACCCAAGTCCGGGATGATCCCAGACGCGCCTTAGTCGACTGCACGTAATGATATATACGATTCTGGCCGGCCGGTTATACGGGTCGACAAAGAACCCCCCCCCCCCCCGTGAACACCACACATATATATCACATATAACCCATCACAAGGGTTAATATTAGTCTGACATGGGACAGTTAGGAAAGGATAGGGAAGGGTAGGTTTTGTTAGGCTAGGCTACATCACGTTAGATTAGAACAATTTTGCTTAGGATAATCTTGGATACATGAGGATCCAAGATACTCTTGGATACTCTAAGCATCACACGCGTTGTTTATCCTTGCGTCTCGGTGCCTGTTCTCCGTCACAACACACAGGGAGCATTATGTTATAACCTCAACCCTATATGCAAATACCGCCTGTAACATGCATTTAAACAACACAATAGTTACCCCCTAAGAGACGACCATACAGACGCCGGCCGGTCGTGACACCATGGGAATGATATCAAGCTATCCTCCTAAACCATCAGTACTTGTAGCAACTATGTGTTCCAACACACAAACATGACAATGTTACAGCCATTGCTAGTCACGTTTTGTACAAGTTGAGACATCTGCTTATTCAACACCACCGCCACCATTTATAATAATAATTAGTACTATTATAAATAATTATTACTATTACAAATAATAATTATTATATATTTACAACATCTTACAAATGAGTTTACACTTAATGCGGCCACCATCTTCACGTTAGTATGAAATGGATTACTTTCAATAATTACGGAGATTGGCAGCGAAGCTTACCAATTAGTGCTGGGGTGGAAGTATTAATTACCCAGGGGACTAGACCCCGTCCCTGGGGACCAGACCCCTTCCCTGGGGACCAGGCCCCTTCCCTGGAGACCAGACCCCTTCCCTGGGGACCAGGCCCCTTCCCTGGGGACCAGACCCCTTCCCTGGGGACCAGGCCCCTTCCCTGGGGACCAGGCCCCTTCCCTGGGGACCAGACCCCTTCCCTGGGGACCAGACCCCTTCCCTGGGGACCAGACCCCTTCCCTGGGGACCAGACCCCTTCCCTGGGGACCAGGCCCCTTCCCTGGGGACCAGGCCCCTTCCCTGGGGACCAGGCCCCTTCCCTGGGGACCAGGCCCCTTCCCTGGGGACCAGACCCCTTCCCTGGGGACCAGGCCCCTTCCCTGGGGACCAGACCCCTTCCCTGGGGACCAGACCCCTTCCCTGGGGACCAGGCCCCTTCCCTGGGGACCAGACCCCTTCCCTGGGGAGCAGGCCCCTTCCCTGGGGACCAGACCCCTTCCCTGGGGACCAGACCCCTTCCCTGGGGACCAGAGCCCCTTCCCTGAGGACCAGACCCCTTCCCTGGGGACCAGACCCCTTCCCTGGGGACCAGACCCCTTCCCTAGGGACCAGACCCCTTCCCTAGGGACCAGACTCCTTCCCTGGGGACCAGACCCCTTCCCTGGGGACCAGACCCCTTCCTTGGGGACCAGACCCCTTCCCTGGGGACCAGACCCCTTCCCTGGGGACCAGACCCTTCCCTGGGGACCAGACTCCTTCCCTGGGGACCAGACCCTTTCCCTGGGGACCAGACCCCTTCCCTGGGGACCAGGCCCCTTCCCTGGGGACCAGGCCCCTTCCCTGGGGACCAGGCCCCTTCCCTGGGGACCAGAGCCCCTTCCCTGAGGACCAGACCCCTTCCCTGGGGACCAGACCCCTTCCCTGGGGACCAGGCCCCTTCCCTGGGGACCAGACCCCTTCCCTGGGGACCAGACCCCTTCCCTGGGGACCAGACCCCTTCCCTGGGGACCAGACCCCTTCCCTGGGGACCAGGCCCCTTCCCTGGGGACCAGACCCCTTCCCTGGGGACCAGACCCCTTCCCTGGGGACCAGACCCCTTCCCTGGGGACCAGACCTTTCCCCTGGGGACCAGACCCCTTCCCTGGGGACCAGGCCCCTTCCCTGGGGACCAGACCCCTTCCCTGGGGACCAGACCCCTTCCTTGGGGACCAGACCCCTTCCCTGGGGACCAGACCCCTTCCCTGGGGACCAGACCCTTCCCTGGGGACCAGACCCCTTCCCTGGGGACCAGACCCCTTCCCTAGGAACCAGACTCCTTCCCTGGGGACCAGACCCCTTCCCTGGGGACCAGACCCCTTCCCTGGGGACCAGGCCCCTTCCCTGGGGACCAGACCCCTTCCCTGGGGACCAGACCCCTTCTCTGGGGACCAGACTCCTTCCCTGGGGACCAGACCCCTTCCCTAGGGACCAGACTCCTTCCCTGGGGACCAGACCCCTTCCCTGGAGACCAGACCCCTTCCCTGGGGACCAGACCCCTTCCCTAGGGACCAGACTCCTTCCCTGGGGACCAGACCCCTTCCCTGGGGACCAAATTCCTTCCCTGGGGACCAGACCCCTTCCCTAGGGACCAGACTCCTTTCCTGGGGACCAGACCCCTTCCCTGGGGACCAGACTCCTTCCCTGGGGAACAGAGCCCCTTCCCTGGGGACCAGACCCCTTCCCTGGGGACCAGACCCCTTCCCTGGGGACCAGACCCCTTCCCTGGGGACCAGAGCCCCTTCCCTGAGGACCAGACCCCTTCCCTGGGGACCAGACCCCTTCCCTGGGGACCAGACCCCTTCCCTGGGGACCAGAGCCCCTTCCCTGAGGACCAGACCCCTTCCCTGGGGACCAGACCCCTTCCCTGGGGACCAGACCCCTTCCCTGGGGACCAGACCCCTTCCCTGAGGACCAGACCCCTTCCCTGGGGACCAGAGCCCCTTCCCTGAGGACCAGACCCCTTCCCTGGGGACCAGACTCCTTCCCTGGGGACCAGAGCCCCTTCCCTGAGGACCAGACCCCTTCCCTGGGGACCAGACCCCTTCCCTGGGGACCAGACCTTTCCCCTGGGGACCAGGCCCCTTCCCTGGGGACCAGACCCCTTCCCTGGGGACCAGACCCCTTCCCTGGGGACCAGGCCCCTTCCCTGGGGACCAGAGCCCCTTCCCTGAGGACCAGAGCCCCTTCCCTGAGGACCAGACCCCTTCCCTGGGGACCAGACTCCTTCCCTGGGGACCAGACCCCTTCCCTGGGGACCAGACCCCTTCCCTGGGGACCAGACCTCTTC